ACTTCCCGACCTCCAACCCGTGCACTGGCCGCGGCGGTGCGCCAATGTCGACGGCCCGATTATCTGCGCCACCGGCACGTCTATGAGGAACCGCATGCAGGACAGAACCGCGAGGCTTTCGCAGCGTGCCCCTGGGGCAGCTGTGCCAGCGGGGCAACGCCGCCAGGAATTGCCCGTCCCTTGACGCCCGCTGCGAGTGGAAGGGCGTGCTGCTCCTCTAAGGTGGGAGGGTGGGAAGGGGGGAGTGCTCTCTGGGAAGCTACCAACGAGAACGATGGCGACGTCGGGCGCACCTCCCATGAGAACCCTGGGGGCCTCCAGAGGGTCCTCGGAGGCCTCCAGGTGCCCCTGTGGTGGCCGACGGTGTCTAAAGACGTCCGAAGCCCCGATCCTGTGCCTCCTCCAGAGCTTCCTCCTCGTCCTCATTCCTGGGGAGGGGGCTGTCCTCGTTCACCAGAGCTAGACCCGAATAGTCTGGGACCCTCCCCAGTGCCATGAGCGAGTTCAGTCTCACGGCGGCCCTGCCGAGGGGGGCAACGCGGATCGAAGACGCAGGGATGGGGGGAGGAGGAGGAGGAGGAGGAGGAGGAGGAGGAGGAGGAGGAGGAGGAGCAGGAGGAGAAGCAGGCGGAGGAGGAGGAGGAGGAGGAGGAGGAAGAGGGAATGAGGAGATGGGAGGAGGTGGGGCGAGAAGCGGAGAAGAAGGCTTTCTGGAGACTCGGAGCTCCAGGGCTTTACCCTGGCAAGCCTTTAAGACCCCCCCGGGGTTATCGTTAGCACCGCACCAAGACTGAGTATTTTCAGGGGGCCGTTTTCGCAGAGCGATATCTTTAGCACCTCGCACAAGTCAAACAACACAATTCCGTAGCGCGTCGCGCGCCGCGCGCCGCGCAAGGCTTAGCAGCGCTCAGTGGCGCTCAGCAGGGGCTAGCAAGGTTTGGCATGGGCTTAGCAGGGCTCAGCAGGGGGCGAGCCTGGCTTATCATTGCTTAGCAGGGCTTAGCGGGAGCTAGCAGGGCTCAGCAAGGCTTAGCTTGGCCCCGAGCGCTCTCTGCGGGCTCCTCCGGTGCCGAGCTAACGCTTCCAGGGTGCCGGATGCGATATACTTTCACCGGGTGAGGGGTGGGGGTGGGGGGGTCGTCTTAAAGGCTTGATGCGGTTTATGGGGCGCTCTGGGGGCTGGACTGGACACTCAGGCGAACAAGACAACCAAGCAGCATGGGAGTCACACAGGATAGGTTACGGCCCAACCCGCCAGCCCCAACCTGGACCCAAGAGGGCCCAGATGGGGGCCAGGAGGTGGAGGTTGCATCCGCGGGCGTATTCCAGGGCTCGAGCTAAACATTGTATCCGTCTTCGTTTTGTTATCGTTTTCCCTTTCCCCCGCTCTGTCGTCGTTCCCACCTTTGCTGCAAAACGAAATCAGAACGAAAACAGTCCACGAAATCGACCAAAAAACACCGTTTTTCTCGAGCCCTGGCGTATCCCCGCCCTCTACTACCTCACGAGAGTCGTCCCAGCGGCTCGGCACCGTCCCAGCGGCTCGGCACCGTCCCTGCGGCTCCCTGGGAAGAGGTGGGAGAGGAGGGAGGATAGGGGAGGGTGGACCTCCTGGGGGAGCCTCCACCGGCCGCCCTCGAGCGAGCCCCCGCCCAGCCCCCGACAGCAGAGGCGAGGGGCAGGGCGGCAAGGAGGCCCGAGGGCCGCGCACGGACGGTGCCTCGATACGGGCCCCCGCTGGGCCGCCACCGGGCCGGCCCGGACACCCGGCGCCACGGCGCCCAGGGCGTCCTTCGGGGCCGGTGCGGGCAGAGGAGCGTCTCGAATTGTGGGCGCGGGCGCCCTGGAAAAAGGGGGCGTTCCTCGCGGACGGTGGTACTTCTCGGCGGGCGCGACGCCAGGGGGGTGGGGAGGTCAGAGGGGGCAGGCCTCTTCCCCAGACCCCCGACGTCGTGATTTGACGGGTCGACCCCTAGGAGGTCGGGGCCACTTCGATCCCGAGTCGTCGTCATTTGACGCTCCAGAGGACTGGGAAGGACGCCCGGATGCCGAAAATAGCGGAAAGCCTCCGGTCGTGTTTTGTTCACAACGCGAGGGGGTCTGGGCCAGAAGGCGGCTGGGTCTCCCAGACGGTCCGGGGCTTCTGAGGAGCCCCCTGCGGCGTTGGAGAAGCCTCGGAAAAAGCGCCTTGCAGAAGGCCAGGAGCTTCCCGAGCCCAATCAGAAGGCCCGCCGAACTCCGGCGGGCAGGGCGCCGGGAGCCAGCAAGAGCAGGGCCGCGCTGACCCCGCGGTTCCGCCGCGGCGCTGCTACGATATCAACAAAAGACATGTGGACCCCTATCCCCGACTTCGCGGGGTTTCCGACCGGACAATGATTTAGGGCACAACCCCAGAATATACGTTGGGGGCGTCCATCCTCGATAAGGGGTGCGTCCGAATAGCGCCTCTGGGGTGAATCCCCGAGATGTCCTCCTTTCCTCAGCGGCTGGATTTGTCGTGGAAACATCGAGTGTGGGCGAGAAATCACCTGCGAGATAGGAGGGCGTGGGCTTGCTCGAAGGAGACCTCCTGAGCCGTTTAGGGGAAAAAGGCAGGACTGGTCCTGCAACTTTCGCCGTACGATCACCCTGAGAACGACGCACCCTCATCATACGACCGACTTGCGCTGACGCAGGAACGCCCAACTGTTCAGCGAAGGTCGCTGGTACTGACACCATACTCTGGCGAGGACGCTAACTACACACCAACACCCGTCATGTCCAGGCCAGACGTGTGCCCAGGATCGGTGCGTGCATACGCCATCCCGGCCTAGCCTGGATGGCGTATACTCCGATCCTGGGCCCAGCACTGTCCTGGCTAGCACCGGTGCCAGTGTATTGTTGGCGTCAACACACCGCACACGTCAAAGGAGGCGACCTTGCATCGACGGCACACGCTCCAGCAGAACCAGCCTGCCTCCATCCCCTGTTCCACCTCTACCTGCACCTGCCCTCCCGTCACCCCTACAGACTAACGCCAGAGGCAACTTCGCGATTTGGAATGGGCTCGATGGCGTTTTGGCGAAGACACGGTCAGTTTTGAAGACGAACGTTAATCATTCTGGGAACATGAAATCAAGAATGGCGAGGAGAAGTCCGCCAGGCACCGCTTGCCAAGGGCGATGAGGCGTGTGAGATGTTTGGCCGCCTCCCTCCCTCTTTCCCCCCCCCCACCCCCCGGGGGAGCCCAAACACCCGTTAGAGGGGGGCGCCCCCCCCTCCCTGGGGAGCCCAAGCACCCGTTAGAGGGGGGGGGCTCCTCAACGCACCTCCCAGACCATCGGAGCCTCCAAATCCACCCTGCGCGGCTTCCAAGATTCCCAAGATCCTTTCTAAGATGGCTCAAGAAGAGCTCCGTCAAGCCAGAGAGGCCTCAAGAACATCTATGATGGCCGCAAGACAGCCCAAGAGGCCCTCAAGCAGCCTCAAGAGGGCCCCCAGAAGACCTCCATCGAGGGCCTCAAGTGGCATGAAACATTGATTTCCCGCTGGTGTTTGAACACTAGCTTGTGCGTTCTCTCCTCTTCGAGCATCTGAGATCCCAAGACGACCAAAGAACCCCCGCAGAACGGCCCCACGACGGCCAAGAAACGGCCCAAGAGCCCCCCAAGACGGCAAACAGGCCTGCGAGTCGGCATCCAGAGGGCCCCATGGCAGGCCCAAGAGGAGGAACTCACAGGGTGCACAGGAACCCTCCCCCACAAGATAGCCCCAAAGACCCCAACAAGCCCTCCAGAGGATCCCAAGAAGCCCCTAGAGGCCCCCCCAAAGGCCCCTGGAGCTCTCCAAAGGCTTCTACGAGACCGCCCCTGAGGCCTCCAGTGCCCAAGGGACCCCGCAACAGACTCGGAGGAAAAGGATGACGAATCAGCAACAACTACACGCAGGCATCACGACGGAAAGCGGCAAACGACACGTGCGTATTCGGAAGCTGCACACCTGCTCTTCTGGGGGTCGGCGGAATGGCATAAGCCTCAATCATCAATATTGAATGTTGCATGTAGTGTTTAAGGGTTCCAGACGCCCCAATTGCAGGATGTCCTTCGGTTGCGCGCGTGACTTGTGGGGTGGATCGCGCGGCTTTGCCAAAGGCCAGAGAGAGAGCCAAGGAGGGTCAAAGGGTCTCCCAAAGGCGCCAACGACGGTCCCAGAGGGTCCCGATAATTACGACCCGAGAGGGCTCCAGGACATCTCAGATGAACAGAAGACGGCCCAAGAGGCCCCTACAACGCAGGACACCCAAGATGGCCCCAAGGCAAAAACTCAGTGTCTGCTAGTATTTGGAATAGTTGAGCGTTCTCTCCCTTTCGGGCTTCCGAGCACCCAAGGCGGCCAACAAGGCCCCAAGATCGACTCAAGGTGTCCCACGAGGCACTTCAGAGGCCCCCAAGGCGGCCCAAGAGGCCCCAAGACGGCCGAAGAGGTCATCCGAAGATGGCCCAAGAGGCCTCCAAGACGGCTCCAAGAGGGGCCCCGACAGGGGGAACCCAAATTGACAGTCTGACAAATCAAGATTGCCCCCGAGACCACTAGCAGTCCCCCCAGTCAGGCCAATCGACTGGTCGAGAAGGCGAATACATAAGCCCACCTTCGTCGATCGCAGGACCCTGTCTAAACGAGCGATACACTGGTCAGGGCGTATAGCAAACACTGGTCCTGAAATCTACTAGCACATCCTGTTTCAGATCGGGCCCAGCGTGGTCGGACACGTAGATCGCAGGGCCAGCGAAGCCACTCTTGCTTGAGACCCCAGACCGCCACGCGCCTAGACTTACTCTGACAGGGGGGACCACCTTCACAGCAGCACCGATACTGGTCAACCCAACCCTGGTCCGAAGATCGGTGTTATCCGATCCTGGCAGGGCCAGGAGGACGTGCAGACCGATCCTGGACAAATGGCTGGTCTGGCCATGACAGGTAACGGCGTGTATCTGGTTTCCTCCGATCCAGCTCTCACGGCCTCACAGGGTGGAATTCGTTGCCGCGGAAATTATGGTGAACATGCGCTTGAACTCGGGCCACTCCATGCTGTTGTTCCCGTCGGTGTCCGCGAGCTGCGCGCGCGGACGAGCCGGGCAAGGAGGAGCAGCAGCGACAGGAAGAAGAGCATGAGGAGGGCGAGGAGGAGGAGGACAACGACAAGAAGGGGGGAGGAGGAGAAGGCGGAGGAGGAGGAGGCGGACGAGGCGGTCGAGGCAAAGGAGAGCTTCCACGATGGACTCGCAACTCTGGCCGTCGCGTGGCGCCTGTGCTACCGAGGCCCCGCACGCCTGCACTCCAGGAGCCCGCCGGCTGACCCCGACGAGCGCCCGCAGGTCTCGCGCCCCGGCGCTGCCCGGAGCCGGCCGCACCGCCTCGCCTCCGGGCAGCCAGGAGGAGCTCGCCAAGCGGCTGGGGGCCGCGGAGGGGTTCGTGTGATGTGGGCACTGTGCCATCCGCAAACCCACGCGGCGGGTTGAACCCGCCAGCGGCAGCAGACGAGGAGGGCGGGAAGGAGAATGAGGAAAACGAGGGAGCAGCATGGCGAATGCCAGGAGAAACGAGGAAGAAGAAGGGAGAGAGAGGGAGCGGGCCGATCCCCCCCCGCCACGCACTGTTGTTCGAAGCCTGGACATCCTGTGTTGGCGTCTCGTTTTGAATTGGGAATTGCGGTCGCGTCTCCTCCTCCTGATTATCATCCTCCTCCTCCTCCTGATCCTCCTCCTCCTCCTCCTCCTCCGCCTAATCCTCCTGATCCTCCTCCTCCTCCTCCTCCTCCTCCTCCTCCTTCTCCTCCTCCTCCTCCTCCTCCTCCTCCTCCTCCTCCTCCTCCTCCTCCTCCTCCTCCTCCTCCTCATAGTCGCTGTTTGAGGTGCCCAAAAGTTGACCGACCGCACCTCACGTACAACCGTACACCAGCGATTTTGCGCCCACAGCCACAGGCTTCGGGGGCAGGGGGGACTGGGGGGCCCGCATGGCGAGTCCGTGCGCCTAGGCATGAGAATCTGCTACTACAACCCCCAGGAGGCAGCGAGCATCGAACGACTAGAGGACATCAGTGCCGAACTACACAGTTGGGACGTTATCCTCCTCAGTGGCACATGTAGATGGGCGGGAGCAGAAGCAGTGCAGCGACACTACCTCCCTAATCACTACGTGTTACAATTCGATGCCCGCAAAGGGAAGTGGATCAACAAAAGCTGTGGCTTAACGATCCTCATCAACCAGAGAATCGACGAGCGCAGCCTACGAGAGATCTACACTCCACCGACCAGCCTCCAGGGACGGGTTGCAGGAATTCGCCTCTCGACTAGCCGATACGACTACGTACTCTTTGTCTACTACTACGCCCCCACCCATCTCTCGTACTACGTGCCACTAGCAGACGCTATAACTAAATGGTTAGAGCAGTGTGTCGACCGAGTAGGCAGCCGTACGACGATCGTGATGGGCGGTGATGTGAACAGCGACTTTGGTTGTCAGCGAGACACCGACGGGACCATCGTGCGAAGTAGAGGACCGACGGTAGGAGACAGGGAGCCCAGGATTGAGAACTCCGACGGCACGAGCCTCAGGACCCTGTGTCAGACCAACGACCTCAGCATTGCTACTACTTACCACATTGCTGAACCCACCTTCTACGGGCATTCAGGTTATAACAGCCGTATCGACCACATCGTTGTACCCACAGGGGCCCTGGGACTCATAAAAAGGTGCGAGGTCCTCCATCGGTCTGGTAAAAGGCTCCAAAAAGTAAAAGTACGAGGACACAGGGGCCACCTCCCCATCGGCCTCACCCTCCTCGCCTCTACTACCACCACCTCCTTCCCCACGCGCGCCCGCCTACAACAGGGACTGTGCAGGGACGGCCTCATGGAATGCTTACGCAGCGGCCACGAGAGGGAGATGCTGCTCACCGAACTCGACAAGGAGGTGGAGGAGGTGGGTGGGGAGCAGCGGGAGAGAGCACTGGGAGCGGCGACGCCAGACGAGACCTGGGACCTTTTGGGGGGAGCGGCACGCGCGGCCATGCTCAGGACCTTCGGAAAAAAACGGCTCTCCCAACGAGATCGACCAGCTTACGAAGCGAGCCAAGCAACACCGACTCGAACTCCTTAGGCAACGAAGAGCACTGCGACAGAGCCTCACTCCAGAACAGTGTGCCGACGACTACGACAGGGTACAAAACGAGCTGAAAGAGATCACAGCTGCGCTGAAGCAGGCCCGAGAAGGTGTCGAGAAACAAAGAAGGGCGCTCCTGGTCGAACGCATATGGGAGGCCTACGAAAAACGGAACCTCGCCGAGATGCACCGACTACGTATACAGTACCAGAGGAATGGGCGCGGGCCAAAAAAAGGTACTACCGATCAGCCCGAACTCACTGGCCACGCGACTACTGGTATCAGGAGCTTGCCCACCCAGCCTTGGAAGGGGGGCTAGGAGCGCGGCCCATCGATAGGAACGCAGAGCGAGCAGTACACGAGGCTTACGTCCAGGAACACATCGACCGACTGCCGATCGACCACGATTTACTTTTTCAAGTCGAGGCGGACAAGCGAGCGATGCGCAGGTACTGTCAGCGAGCTAGCAAGCGACGGGCCTGGCCGCCTTGGGGCATCCCGATCGAAATGACATGGTTGATGATCGACCCCGCCCTCCACCTTCAGGACCCAGCAGAGCTCAGCAAGCGCCTAGAAGAAAAGCGAGTTGCAGCTGCAGAGAAGAGGGGGGGCGAAGACGAGCTTGCACACTACACGACATTGGGACGATGCAAAAATGGGAGGGAACTGCTCCGACGGATGGGGTGGACTGACGGCACTAGGTTAGGTCGTGTGCCGACGGCGACGGATGGGACAGAAGGAGCCGCCTGGGAGCAGCAATCCTATGCAGTGGGGAGGGGCAGATTTGCAGGGGTAGGTGCTGACGAGATTGCAGATCACAGCAAAGGATATATGAAGTACCTTGATCAATTTCTTGCACAGTGCCGAAGCTGTCAGGTTACTCCCTTGGACTGGCATCGATCACAAGCATTCCCAGCAGAAAAACACAACAACAAAGATGGGATACTAGGGAAGCGTATACTACACGTGTACGATTCTTTCGGAATGGCTTGGCACTCAGGCATCCACTTACGCGGCTCACCCCCCATCACATGCACCCTGGGCCCAAGGGGGCCTCCCGCACCGCTGTCGCGAAAACGCCATCCTCTGTGTACAAGCGGCCCAATGGAGAGCCGCCCAAGGGGGGGCGAGCACAATCACCACCAACTACGACGGCACCAACGCGTTCGCAGCCACCAACCGAGCCCTACTCAGAGCGGTTGTCTTCAGGCAAGCCCACGAGCACGATCTGCGCTTTGCCATGGCAGCCATTGGCCACTCCACCCTGACGCTCGAAGCTGCCGACGGCGCCGTCGAAGCTGAGAGCACCACAGGTGCTCTAATGGGCTTCGCCCTCTGCCCGCGGCAATTCAACGATGCATACAACCTGTACGTCACAAAATGGTGGGAACAAGGCCGCACGGACCCAGACCAAATTATCCACGACACGACTAACCCAGTCGCAGGCAACACCCACGACTTGTCCCTCAACACGTTCATGGACGACATCACTTATGTGCAGACGGTCCTACCTACATCGACGGCTGGCGATATTGAACACCAACTCAACAACAACACCGAACGCCTTTCCCAAACAATTGCAGCAGGAGGATGGGGACTCAACAACGCCAAGACCAACCACCTACTATATTTAGTAGGGCAAGGCTGTTACGGAAAGACCAGACAACTCAGACGCAGCAGAACACTGCAGGGTCAGGCGTTGAGGGAGATGCGTGTACTTGGCCCTTACCTACCGGCTGGTCAGGGCATCACAGGCGAGGTCGTGCGGCGCATCGCAGCCATACGCGTCGCATGGCGACAATGCGGGATCTTTTGGACCTCTAAGGTACCCCGACAGATAAAACGCATGATGTTCATGGCTTTCGTCGTAGGTGCGGCCCTCAGCGGATCGCCAGCGTTAGTTCTGACAGATACCCACACAACGGCAATCGACAGTGTACCAGGCAAATACCTACGGACGCTAGCGGGAGGTGCCATGTCGTGGACCAGAGCGGATGGGACAGTGGGGTGCAACAACTTGCGACAGGTGTTTAGATACTGGAGGCTCGAGCGCACATCCGTATCCTTACTTGTGCGACGTTTGCGATGGTACCAGAACTGGTCTAGGCACCCTTGGGAGCACGGAGCAGTCATCGCAGCGGTTTTTGGGACATCCAGACTCGACGCGGCTCAGGGTATTCAGCGACTCGAAGGGCAGGGATTTGTGGGACCCTCCTCCACCCCGTGGGCACAGCAGTTTGCAGTCGACATGCAGGCGATAGCAAAGGTTGACGAGAGCATGGGATGGTATGCAGACAGGGACCCAGACCTTGCCATATTCGAACAGGGGAGTGCGGAACAAAAAAACTGGCTGCAAACCGACCCATCAATATTGCACAGATACGAGCGAAACTGGGACGTGCTTACGACACGAGATACGACGCTGCAGGAGGAGGAGGGCAGGGAGGAGGAGTCACTGAAACCCTACTGGTGCGATCATACGACGACGGGCGAACACGACACGGAACAGAGGTGTGGCATGCGCTTTGCGACATACGCAGCACTAGCTGGGCATCGCCGAGAGTCCCACAACATCCGACCAGTGGTGGCGTCCGTAATCGTCAACAACCAGTGCCCCTGGTGCAAGAGCACATTTATTATTCGTAAGGTATGTGTCGACCACGCGACCAGGGCCGTCCACGGCCGCGGGATTTGCCACCAAGACAGGTCGATGTGGTCCCACCCTATCTCCGACCCCAGCTCCCTCACCTGCCCGATCTGTAACCGCGAGGCTCAAACTCTCGAGGAGTAGCACGCACACATCCGCGAGCACATTGCAGGGCCAGGGTCGATCAGAGCGGCACGGGGTGGGGGAGCACATGTTGCACGGGGGCCACGGCGACTGGCGCATCAGGGCCAGCGCGAAGAGAGGAGGGGGCGCAGCAGAGGGGGAGCCGCCCTCGCAGCGCCCGCA